GGGGGAGTTCCAATTTTGATTGGCTCCTCCCCTCATGGCGTCTGTGTCCACCACAGGGGCTAAACGGGGGCTCTGGACGGGTGCGAGGGGCTGGTAACCCCTCCACCTTCAATTAATTACCACGAAACCACGAATTAAACTGAAATATGTAACAACTAAGCTTGTGCCGGAGGCCCCGGGGGGCCAGGCGTCTATGACGTCTCCTGGCCAAACCCCAATTGGCGGAGCCAGGAGATTGAATACCTACCCTCGGGGCTACTCCAGAAACAACGAAAAGCCACTACGGGTGGCCACGTGGAATGTTCGAACGCTCACTGCAGAGGAGAGGCTGCCACTCCTCTGTCGGGAGCTGGACCGGTACCGCCTGGATCTATGCGGCATTCAGGAGGTCCGGTGGACCGGCTCTGGCTCCTGCCACCATGAGGGGTGGACAGTCCTCTACTCGGGGCAGCAGACTGCCAAACAACAGGGTGTGGGTCTTCTTTTGAACAAAAGAATGAAGGGGGCGTGGGAGCGTGGCGGTGAGGTGTGGGAAGCTGTAAGCCCCAGGCTACTTTGGGCTCGCCTTCCCATCAACCGGAGGCGAGGAATGGTGGCCGTGGTTACTTATGCCCCCACCGAAGATGAACGTCCGTGGAGGGATGCAGGCAAAGCCGATGAGTCAGATGCCTTCTATGACCTCCTGTCACAGGTGCTGGCTAAAGTGGCCCCTCGGGATAGAGTCATCATGTTGGGTGACTTCAATGCCCGAGTTGGTCATGATACTGGCACCTGGTCTGGAGTGATTGGAGGGCATGGGCCAGATCAGCTCAATAACAACGGTAGGAGGCTGCTAGATTTTTGTGCAGCCCATGGGCTTGTAATTACCAACACGCTGTTCCGGCATCGGCGCATCCACACAACATCATGGATGCATGCCGGGTCCAAGCAAGAACATCTGCTGGACTACATAGTGACGGACCAGCGAATGCGAGCCCATGTCCTTGACACCAGGACCTACCGTGGAGCTGATCTGCCCTCTGTCCATCGACTAGTCATCTGTAAGATGCGCCTGCCATTCTTCCACTCCGGTGGTGGGTGTACACCCAGGACCCCATTCCAACCTAAAGTGGCCTGGTCTCAGTTATTTGATGAAAGTTGCAAGCGAGAATTTCATCATCGCTTGCGGCTGGGATTGGCATCGTCCCCGACTCCTCCTGATGTCGAGGGTAAATGGGCGAGGTTTAGGACTGTGACTCATGCAGCTGCAATGGCTGCTTTGGGTACGCGGTCCAGACCTCCCCAGACACCCTGGCTGACAGAGGAGTTGTTCAGGATGGTTGAGAAAAAGCGACAGGCCCACTGTCATCGGCTACAGAATCCCACGTCAGAGAATGAGGAGGCTTACCGCAGCCTTCGCTCGGAGGTTCGGAGAGCCGTGAGGCGCTGCAAGGATGGGTGGTGGTCGCGGGTTGCTGAGGAGATGGAGTCTGCCTCAGTGGCCCGTGATCACAAATCTCTATTTAACTCCATCAAAAAAGTAACCTGCAGCGCCACACCTATTACCATCATTAGGGGAAAAAACGGTGATCCAATTTCCGACCCCCAGGAACAGGTTCGCAGATTTGCTGAGCATTTCTGTGAGGTCCTGGGGGAGGGAAAATCCCTCAGCCAGGAAAACATCGTGGCACAAAGTGAGGATGACCCTGCTGAGGCTGCGGTGCCTCAAATATTGGATGAAGTCACCCCCTGTGAGTGGCTGGCTGAGGTTCCATCTGCTGAGGAAGTATTGAAGGCGATTCGGAGTCTGAGACCAGGAAAGGCAGCGGGCAGAGATGATCTCCCAAGCGAAATGCTGAGGGAGGGTGGCGTTTGTGCACAGACTGCCCTATATGACATCATAACAACAGTCTGGACCACTGGAAGGGTTCCGCAGGATTGGAAGGATGCCCTGGTGGTCCCCCTTTTTAAGAAGGGGGACCGCACAGACTGTAACAACTACAGGGGCATCTCACTCCTCAGTGTGCCGGGAAAGGTCCTGGCAAGGATTATTCAGCATCGCCTTGCCAGGCACGCTGAGGAGAGGCTTGTGGAGCCCCAATGCGGTTTCAGGAAAGGGCGGTCCTGCACAGATGCCATATTTTCTGTCCGTCTGCTACAGCAGAGGTGTAGGGAATTCCAACAAGACCTACATCTCTGCTTTATTGACCTGGTCAAGGCCTATGATACCATCAGTAGGCCTGGGCTCTGGGTCGTTCTTCGTGCTTTTGGAGTACCTGACCCTCTGCTCACGATCATTAAGGACCTTCATGATGGTGAGCGGGCCCGGGTAAAACTACGTGGCCGGGAGTCAGAGCCATTCCCTGTACACCTTGGGGTGCGACAGGGATGTCCTCTGGCTCCCACATTATTTAACATCTATTTTGACCACGTGGTTCGTGAAGCCTTCAATAGCTGTACCGGGGGAATCTCCATATGGTACAGATATAATGGGAGGCTAATCGATGCCCGGGTGCGGTCAAGGGATGGCTCCCTATTGCTCAACCACGTTATGTATGCTGATGATTTGGTAATAGCTGCTCAGTCAGAGGAGGAGTTGGAGACGCTGCTGCTGAGACTGGAGCGTGCCACTAAGAGGTGGGGCCTTACCATCAGCCCCACCAAAACTAAGTACCTGCCTGGGTATTTTGTACCATCGGACACTCCACCCCCACAACTCCCAATCGGTGATGGGGCAGTTGTGGAGAGAGTGGAGAGTTTCCCATACCTGGGCAGTGTGCTTATGACTGGCTCCAGTTTAACAGCAGAGGTCTCACTCCGAATCAGTCGAGCGGCAATATCTTTTCATCGGTTGCGTAACGCTGTGTGGAAGCTACCTGGTCTGTCGCTCCGCACTAAGCTTCAAGTCTTCTCGGCCACGGTCATTCCCTCCCTTCTCTACGCTTGCGAAACGTGGACCCCCCTAATGGAACATCTTAGCCGGTTAGAAACATTTAGGCTGGCCTGCCTACGATCCATCCTGGGTTTAACCAGACTGGATTGTGTGAGGAGCTCACAAATCCTTGAAAGATCTGGGCAGGGTCCCATCGGTGAGCTCCTCCGGCAGGCAAGGCTGCGATGGCTGGGTCATGTAGCCCGCATGCCCAGCCACCGCATGCCGAAACAGCTTTTGTTTGGCCGGATTGAGGGGGCTAAGCGGGCGCGGCACGGGCTAGAGAAGAGATGGAGTGATGTGGTACAGGAGGACGTGGAGCTGAGTGGACTTGCCGATGACTGGTACCAGCGGTGTCAAGATCGGCCTCTGTGGAGGAGGCTCGTGAAGGATGCTACTGGGCAGTTGGAGGCAGTCGCCCTCCAACAACAACGGAGGGCGGAGGAGCGACGCTCACAACAATGAGCGGAACGCCGGGTGGCTAAAGCACAGCAGGTTGGCACGGTAGGGGGCACAGGTGGTGCATCAGCCAGTCATCTCAGTCAGTCGACCCGTGGCACCTGGGTCTGCCCAGTGACCTCCTGCCAGCGGGCGTTCGACACTTCACGTGGCCTCACGGTGCACATAGCCTGGCACAAGCGTCGTGTTGACGTCACCGCCACTTAGTGGCGAATGGCGGTTGTTGTGGTTGTTGTGTGTGTGTGTGTCTGTGTGTGTCTGTGTGTGTGTGTCTGTGTGTGTGTCTGTGTGTGTCTGTGTGTGTGTCTGTGTGTGTGTGTCTGTGTGTGTGTGTGTGTCTGTGTGTGTGTGTGTCTGTGTGTGTGTGTCTGTGTGTGTGTGTCTGTGTGTGTGTCTGTGTGTGTGTGTGTCTGTGTGTGTCTGTGTGTGTGTGTGTGAGTGTCTATGTGTGTGTGTCTGTGTGTGTGTGTGAGTGTCTATGTGTGTGTCTGTGTGTCTGTGTGTGTGACTGTGTGTGTCTGTGTGTCTGTGTGTCTGTGTGTGTCTGTGTGTGTGTCTCTGTGTGTCTCTGTGTGACTGTGTGTGTGTCACTGTGTGTGTATGTGTGTGTATCTATGTGTGTCTGTGTCTATGTGTGTGTATGTATCTATGTGTGTGTGTGCCTGTGTGTGTGTGTATCTGTGTGTGTCTATGTATGTGTCTCTGTGTGTGTCTCTGTGTGTATGTGACTGTGTGTCTATTTGTCTCTGTGTGTGTGTATCTGTGTCTCTGTGTGTGTGTACCTGTGCCTCTGTGTGTGTGTCTATGTGTCTATGTGTGTGTATGTGACTGTGTGGGTGTCACTGTGTCTGTGTGTGTGTCTCTGTGTCTATGTGTGTGTGTCTGTGTATGTATGTGTCTCTCTGTGTGTGTACCTGTGTGTCTATGTGTCTATGTGTCTCTGTGTGTGTGTGTCTGTGTATGTGTGTCTGTGTGTGTGTCTGTGTGTGTGTCTCACTGTGTGCGTGTCACTGTGTGTCACTGTGTGTGTGTCACTGTGTGTGTGTGTCTATGTGTGTGTGTCACTGTGTGTGTATGTCTATGTAAGTGTGTGTGTGTGTGTGTCACTGTGTGCGTGTGTGTCACTGTGTGTATGTCACTGTGTGTGTCACTGTGTGTGTGTCTGTGTGTGTGTCACTGTGTGTATGTCTATGTGTCTATGTGTGTGTATGTGACTGTGTGTGTGTAACTGTGTCTATGTGTGTGTGTGTGTCTGTGTGTGTGTGTGTCTATGTCTATGTGTGTGTGTCACTGTGTGTGTGTCACTGTGTGTGTGTGTGTCTATGTGTGTGTGTGTGTCTCTGTGTCTATGTCTGTGTGTGTGTGTCTGTGTGTGTGTACCTGTGCAGGGAGTCTGCGAGGCGCTTGAGGGCCCTCTCACAGGTGGAGACCAGCGACTGAGCCGCCTCCAACTCGGCCAAAGTGGGGTAGACGCTGGCGTGCCGGGCTATCACGTGGCGATCCTCCAACACAAACATCCTCACGGGACGCTGTGTACACAGAGACACAGAGACACACACACAGAGACACGGTGAGACACTCACTCACACACAGACACACAGAGACACAGACACACACAGAGACACACAGAGACACAGACACACACACACACAGACACACACACAGAGACACAGACACACACAGAGACACTCATACACACACACAGAGACACACACACACAGAGACACACACACAGAGACACTCACACAAACACACACACTCAGACACACACACACAGACACACACAGAGACACAGACACACAGAGACAGAGTGGGGTAGACGCTGGCGTGCCGGGCTATCACGTGGCGATCCTCCAACACAAACATCCTCACGGGACGCTGTGTACACAGAGACACACAGAGACACACACAGAGACACACAGAGACACAGAGACACACACAGAGACACACAGACACAGAGACACGGTGAGACACTCACACACACACACAGACACACACACACACACAGAGACACACACACAGAGACACTCACACACACACACACAGAGACACACACACACAGACACACACACAGAGACACACACAGAGACACGGTGAGACACTCACACACACACAGAGACACACACACACAGAGACACTCACACACACAGAGAGACACACATACACAGACACACAGAGACACAGAGACACGGTGAGACACTCACACACACACACAGAGACACACACACAGAGACACAGACACACACACAGACACACACACAGACACACACACAGACACACACACACTCACACACACACAGAGACACACACAGAGACACACACAGAGACACACACAGAGACACACACACAGACACACACACACAGACACACACACACAGACACACACAGACACACACAGACACACACAGAGACACACACACACACACACAGACACACACACACAGACACACAGAGACACACACAGACACAGACACACACACAGAGACACACACATAGTGACACACACACACAGAGACACACACACACACACAGACACAGACACACACAGACACAGACACACACACAGAGACACACACACACACAGACACAGACACACACACAGAGACACTCACACACACACACACAGACACACACAGACACACAGAGACACACACACAGAGACACACACATAGTGACACACACACACAGAGACACACACACACACACACAGACACACACAGAGACACAGACACACACAGAGACACTCACACACACACACACACACAGAGACACACACACACAGACACACACAGAGACACAGACACACACAGAGACACTCACAAACACACACACACAGAGACACACACACACAGACACACACAGAGACACAGACACACACAGAGACACTCACACAAACACACACACTCAGACACACACACACAGAGACACAGACACACAGAGACAGAGTGGGATAGACGCTGGCGTGCCGGGCTATCACGTGGCGATCCTCCAACACAAACATCCTCACGGGGCGCTGTGTACACAGAGACACAGAGACACACACAGAGACACTCACACACAGAGACACACACACAGAGACACACACACACACAGAGACAGAGACACGGTGAGACACTCACACACACAGAGAAACACACACACACAGACACTCACACACACAGACACACACAGAGACACTCACACACACACACACACAGACACACATACACACACACAGACACACACAGAGACACAGACACACACAGAGACAGAGTGGGGTAGACGCTGGCGTGCCGGGCTATCACGTGGCGGTCCTCCAACACAAACATCCTCACGGGACGCTGTGTACACACAGAGACACACAGAGACACACAGAGACACGGTGAGACACTCACACACACAGACAAACAGACACACACACAGACACACACACAGAGACACACACACACACAGAGACACACACAGACACACAGAGACACGGTGAGAGACTCACAGAGACACACAGACACACAGAGACACAGAGAGACACGGTGAGACACTCACACACACACACAGACACACAGAGACACACAGAGACACGGTGAGACACACACAGAGACACACACAGACACACACACAGACACACACACACACAGAGACAGAGTGAGACACTCACACAGACATACACAGAGACACACACACAGACACACACAGAGACACACACACACACATACAGAGACACACACACAGACACACACACACACAGTGAGTGAGTGTGTGAGTGTGAGACACACACAGAGACGCACACAGAGACACACAGAGACACACACAGACACAGTGAGTGTGTGAGTGAGTGTGTGAGTGTGAGACACACACAGACACACACACAGAGACACACAGTGAGTGAGTGTGAGACACACACACAGTGAGTGTGTGGGTGAGTGAGTCTGTGAGTGTGAGACACACACAGACACACACACAGAGACACACACACAGTGAGTGAGTGAGTGTGAGACACACACACACAGACACACACAGTGAGTGAGTGTGTGAGTGTGGGAGTGTGAGACACACACACAGACACACAGTGAGTGAGTCTGTGAGTGTGAGACACACACAGACACAGTGAGTGAGTGGGTGAGTGTGTGAGTGTGAGACACACACACAGACACACACAGTGAGTGAGTGTGTGAGTGAGTGTGTGAGTGTGAGACACACACACAGACACACACACAGACACACAGTGAGTGAGTCTGTGAGTGTGAGACACACACACACACAGTGAGTGAGTCTGTGAGTGTGAGACACACACAGATACACACAAAGAGACACGCACAGAGACACACACACAGAGACACACACACAGACACACACAGTGAGCGAGTGTGTGAGTGAGTGTGTGAGTGTGAGACACACAGAGACACACACACAGACACACAGTGAGTGAGTGTGTGAGTGTGAGACACACACAGACACACACACAGACACAGTGAGTGAGGGAGTGTGAGACACACACACATAGACACATACACAGTGAGTGAGTGTGTGAGTGTGAGACACACACACAGACACACACAGACACACACACAGACACACACAGTGAGTGAGTGTGTGAGTGAGTGTGTGAGTGTGAGACACACACACAGAGTGAGTGAGTGTGTGAGTGTGAGACACACACAGACACACACACACAGACACACACAGTGAGTGAGTGTGTGAGTGTGAGACACACACACAGAGTGAGTGAGTGTGTGAGTGTGAGACACACAGACACACACAGTGAGTGAGTGAGTGTGAGACATACACACAGACACACACACACAGACACACACAGACACACACACAGACACACACAGTGAGTCAGTGTGTGAGTGTGAGACACACAGACACACACAGCGAGTGAGTGAGTGTGGGACACACACACAGACACACACACACAGACACACAGAGACACAGTGAGTGTGTAAGTGAGTGTGAAACACACACACAGAGTGAGTGAGTGTGTGAGTGTGAGACACACACTCACACACTCAGTGTGTGAGTGTGAGACACACAGACACACACAGTGAGTGAGTGAGTGTGAGACACACACACAGACACACACACAGAGACACACAGAGACACAGTGAGTGTGTAAGTGAGTGTGAGACACACACAGACACACAGAGACACACACAGTGTGTGTGTGACACGTGTAGACTCACACACACACAAACACACACACACAGACACACACACACAGACACACACACACAGACACACACACAGACACAGTGAGTGTGAGACACACACACACAGACACACACACAGAGACACACAGAGACACAGTGAGTGTGTAAGTGAGTGTGAGACACACACACAGACACAGTGTGTGAGTGTGTGACACGTGTAGACTCACACACACACACAGTGAGTGTGTGAGTGTGTCACGTGTAGACTCACACACACAGTGAGTGTGTGACACGTGTAGACTCACACACACACACAGTGAGTGAGTGTGAGACACAGTGTGTGTGAGACACACAGTGAGTGTGAGTGTGTGAGTGAGTGTGTGTGTGTGTGAGACACACAGTGAGTGAGTGTGTGAGTGAGTGTGTGTGAGACACACAGTGAGTGAGTGTGTGTGAGTGTGTCTCGTGTAGACTCACACACACACACAGTGAGTGAGTGTGAGTGTGTGAGTGAGTGTGTGTGAGACACACAGTGAGTGAGTGTGAGTGTGTAAGTGAGTGTGTGTGAGACACACAGTGAGTGAGTGTGAGTGTGTAAGTGAGTGAGTGAGTGTGTGTCACGTGTAGACTCACACAAACACACAGTGAGTGAGTGTGAGACACACACACAGTGTGTGTGTGAGTGTGTGAGTTGTGAGTGTGACACGTGTAGACTCACACAAACACACAGTGAGTGAGTGTGAGACACACAGTGAGTGAGTGTGTGAGTGAGTGAGTGTGTGTGAGACACACAGTGAGTGAGTGTGTGAGTGAGTGAGTGTGTGTGAGACACACAGTGAGTGAGTGTGTGAGTGAGTGAGTGTGAGACACAGTGAGTGTAAGTGAGTGAGTGTGTGTGAGACACACAGTGAGTGAGTGTGTGAGTGAGTGAGTGTGAGACACAGTGAGTGTAAGTGTGTGAGTGAGTGTGAGACACACAGTGAGTGAGTGTGATTGAGTGAGTGTGTGAGTGTGTCTCGTGTAGACTCACACACACACACAGTGAGTGTGTGAGTGTGTGTGAGACACACAGTGAGTGAGTGTGAGTGTGTAAGTGAGTGAGTGTGTGTGAGACACACAGTGAGTGAGTGTGTGTAAGTGAGTGAGCGTGTGTGAGACACACAGTGTGAGTGTGTGAGTGTGTAAGTGAGTGAGTGTGTGTGAGACACACAGTGAGTGAGTGTGTGAGTGTGTAAGTGAGTGAGTGTGAGTGTGTCACGTGTAGACTCATACACACACAGTGAGTGAGTGTGAGACACACAGTGAGTGTGAGACACACAGTGAGTGTGAGACACACAGTGAGTGTGAGAGTGAGTGTGTGTGTGACACGTGTAGACACACACACACAGTGAGTGTGTGTGAGACACACAGTGAGTGAGTGTGTGAGTGAGTGTGAGTGAGTGTGTCTCGTGTAGACTCACACGTGTCACACACACAGTGTGTGTGTGACACGTGTAGACTCACACACACACAGTGAGTGTGTGACACGTGTAGACTCACACACACACAGTGAGTGTGTGACACGTGTAGACTCACACACACACAGTGAGTGTGTGACACGTGTAGACTCACACACACACAGTGAGTGTGTGACACGTATAGACTCACACACACACAGTGTGTGTGTGACACGTGTAGACTCACACACACACAGTGTGTGTGTGACACGTGTAGACTCACACACACACACACAGTGAGTGTGTGACACGTGTAGACTCACACACACACAGTGAGTGAGTGTGTGACACGTGTAGACTCACACACACACACACAGTGAGTGTGTGACACGTGTAGACTCACACACACACACACAGTGAGTGTGTGACACGTGTAGACTCACACACACAGTGAGTGAGTGTGTGACACGTGTAGACTCACACACACACAGTGAGTGTGTGACACGTGTAGACTCACACACACAGTGAGTGAGTGTGTGACACGTGTAGACTCACACACACAGTGAGTGAGTGTGTGACACGTGTAGACTCACACACACACACACAGTGAGTGTGTGACACGTGTAGACTCACACACACACAGTGAGTGTGTGAGACACGTGTAGACTCACACACACACACAGTGAGTGTGTGACACGTGTAGACTCACACACACAGTGAGTGTGTGACACGTGTAGACTCACACACACAGTGAGTGAGTGTGTGACACGTGTAGACTCACACACACACACACAGTGAGTGTGTGACACGTGTAGACTCACACAAACACACAGTGAGTGTGAGACAAACAGTGAGTGAGTGTGTGAGTGAGTGTGTGTGAGTGTGTCACGTGTAGACACACACACACAGTGAGTGAGTGTGAGACACACAGTGAGTGTGAGACACACAGTGAGTGTGAGACACACAGTGAGTGTGTGTGTGTGAGTGAGTGAGTGTGACACGTGTAGACACACACACACAGTGAGTGTGTGTGAGACACACAGTGAGTGAGTGTGTGAGTGAGTGTGAGTGAGTGTGTCTCGTGTAGACTCACACGTGTCACACACACAGTGTGTGTGTGTGACACGTGTAGACTCACACACACACAGTGAGTGAGTGACACGTGTAGACTCACACACACACAGTGAGTGTGTGACACGTGTAGACTCACACACACACAGTGAGTGTGTGTGACACGTGTAGACTCACACACACACAGTGAGTGTGTGACACACGTGTAGACTCACACACACACAGTGAGTGTGTGACACGTGTAGACTCACACACACACAGTGAGTGAGTGTGTGACACGTGTAGACTCACACACACACACAGTGAGTGTGTGACACGTGTAGACTCACACACACACACAGTGAGTGTGTGACACGTGTAGACTCACACACACACACAGTGTGTGTGTGACACGTGTAGACTCACACACACACAGTGAGTGTGTGACACGTGTAGACTCACACACACACACACAGTGAGTGTGTGACACGTGTAGACTCACACACACACAGTGAGTGTGAGTGTGTGACACGTGTAGACTCACACACACAGTGAGTGTGTGACACGTGTAGACTCACACACACACAGTGAGTGTGTGTGACACGTGTAGACTCACACACACACAGTGAGTGTGTGACACGTGTAGACTCACACACACACAGTGAGTGTGTGACACGTGTAGACTCACACACACACAGTGAGTGTGTGACACGTGTAGACTCACACACACACAGTGAGTGAGTGACACGTGTAGACTCACACACACACAGTGAGTGAGTGTGTGAGACACGTGTAGACACACACACACACAGTGAGTGTGTGACACGTGTAGACTCACACACACACAGTGAGTGTGTGTCTCGTGTAGACTCACACACACACAGTGAGTGAGTGTGTGACACGTGTAGACTCACACACACACAGTGAGTGTGTGACACGTGTAGACTCACACACACACAGTGAGTGTGTGACACGTGTAGACTCACACACACACAGTGAGTGAGTGTGTGACACGTGTAGACTCACACACACACAGTGAGTGAGTGTGTGACACGTGTAGACTCACACACACAGTGTGTGTGTGACACGTGTAGACTCACACACACACAGTGAGTGAGTGACACGTGTAGACTCACACACACACAGTGAGTGTGTGAGACACGTGTAGACTCACACACACACAGTGAGTGTGTGAGACACGTGTAGACTCACACACACACAGTGAGTGTGTGAGACACGTGTAGACTCACACACACACAGTGAGTGTGTGAGACACGTGTAGACTCACACACACACAGTGAGTGAGTGAGTGACACGTGTAGACTCACACACACAGTGTGTGTGTGACACGTGTAGACTCACACACACAATGTGTGTGTGACACGTGTAGACTCACACACACACAGTGAGTGAGTGTGTGACACGTGTAGACTCACACACACACAGTGAGTGTGTGAGACACGTGTAGACTCACACACACACAGTGAGTGAGTGACACGTGTAGACTCACACACA